AGGTGAATCACAGAATCCCCTAGCCCTTGAAATGTCCGAAACCTTATCATCCCCATCCCCGCCCCTCACCCCCACTCCCAAGGTGGTTTTTCGGGTATAAAAAATCATGGCACCCTCCTTTTGGCACCACAGGTTGGAGAGACGTGAGTCCTCTGTGGTCGCCGGCATAATAAATGACCCTGCAATCTGGCATACTTTTGTTTTGGTGATAACTTTCTACGCTCTGGTCAAATACAACAGCAGGAATGCTCAGGGCTGATATCCTCCTCCTAGGACCAGGAATCAGGACTTTGGCCTTCGTTTCATTACAGGGACAAGAATCACACACACACAGATGGCCTTGCTGTGTGACAGGCACTGCCCTAAGAGCCTTTAGTGGTTTGATTTATTTAATCCTCACAACAGCTGAATGCAGTAGGCACTATCACTGTTGCCCACTTGATAGATGTGGCTAGGGGACTTACCCGAAGTCACGCAGGCATTTAATGAGAGCATTGGCTTGAGCCTAGGCACCCTGGCTTCACAGCCCACACTTCAACCCCCAAGCTCTCCTGCCTTACTGCGGACGCAGCAGTAGATGGGGCCAGGAAAGGGCAGGGGCTGACAGAGGCCTCTGAGATGACCAAGTGACTCCTGCGCTCTCATTTTATAGATGGGAAACCACAAGGTAGTGTTAGGGGCACACTGGACTCAGGAGACCAGGGTCTGCCTTGGGGTAAGTTCCACTCTGCGGAGGGAAGGGCAGTCTTTTCCAGCGTGTCCTGGGGTCAGCGTCTAGGTCTGAATCCCAGCTCTGCCACTGGTATCTCGATGGCCTCAGGCAATTCACTCCATTTCCTTCCCGCTCAGCTTCCTCTTCTGAAGAAATATGGGCCCCAGATGGTCACTCACAGGCTTGTTTTGAGGGTTGACTGTCTGACGCAGGCACAGGGAGGACAGCAGCACAGGGCTTGGGAATGGCCGTGGTGGAGAGTTTGATTTTCACCCCATCTGCCCTTGACGTGGATTTGAGATGCGGATAAATGAGGCCTGGCTGCTTTTCCCTGGAATGAGTGGCAAACAGACACCTTGGTGGCATGAAAGCCAGGACGGAGGCTAGGGAGCAGTTCAGGGAGACCTCAGGAGGTAGAGTCCCAGCAACCCTGGCCGCAGCTCTGTAACCACCTTGTGGCGCACCAGAATGACCCTCTAAACTGCCCTGGGCAGGTGAAATGCATCCTTTACCCTTTGGCAAGCTAAGACCGGGCTAAGGCAGTGAAGTTGGGAAAATGGCAGCCTGGCTCAGCCAAGCAGAGACCCCCAGCGCCGGCCCCTTCCCTTCCTTCCTCATTTTACAATAGCAGTCACTTTTTTTTTTTTGAGATGGAGTCTCAAATTGTCGCCTGGGCTGGAGTGTAATGGTGCGTTCTCTGCTCACTGCAACCTCCACCTCCTGGGTTCAATGATTCTCCTGCCTCAGCCTTCCAAGAAGCTGGGATTACAGGCACCCACCACCATGCCCAGCTAACGTTTTTGTATTTTTAGTAGAGACAGGGTTTCACTATATTGGCCAGGCTGGTCTCGAACTCCTGACCTCGTGATCCACCTGCCTCAGCCTCCCAAAGTGCTGGGATTACAGGCATGAGCCACCATGCCCAGCCACTGGTCACTCCTACTGCACACATTCAGATGTGCATAAAATGTTCTTTCCCTTATTCAGATTAAATCACGTTCAGTAGGACTCGGAGCCTCATCCTATTGGGCTAGGAGGAATGGAGTCTCCAAGTGCACTGAGCTTCCCTCACTCCCACCCCCACCTCTCAGCATCACACGTTGACCCAGAGGGTCACACGCAGAGCATAAGCGTGAGGGAGGCTCCTGGGTCCTCCTACAATGGATGCACACTGCCCAAATGGGCCTGATTGTCTGAAGTCCAGCCTTGCCCACTTCCCCAGCATGTCTGGAGTCCAGATTCTTTGCAAGATCTGAAACCACTGTGTCTCATTTTGACCTCCAGGATGCATCACCCAGTGACTTCCCCCAGAGGTCCCGCTGTCTCACCAGAAAGCCAAGCCCACGACCTCTGGTCCCCTCCCCATCAGGGACAATCTCTCCTCTCCCCTTGGCTGTGGATGGCAGATGGATACTCTTCTCTCCCCACCCGCCATCTACCTGGCCTAACCTTCTCACTGCGCTCAGGTTCTCAGTTCTCAGAAAGGACAGGAAGAAGCTTGTCTTCGTATAGCTTCTGCTTCCTACTCTCACCCCTGCAAAAAGTCCCTGAGCCAGGAGACGCAAAGGGCAGTCTTTGAAAAGAGACAGGCAGCCCTGTCTTACAGACAAGAAAAACCAAGGCTCAGCAGTGTCACACAGCCAGGGAACAGTGGAGCCCACGTGAGGAGAGTCCTGCACTGTGGGCTCAGAGCTTGTGCTGTCAGTCACGGAATCATGTGGAATCACATGGAAACCCAAGTCTCCCTCATCAATTACTCAGGTGACCTGGGGCAAGTCACATCACCTTTCTGAACCTCAGTTTCTTCAACTCTAAAAGTGACACTATCATAGCATTCCCAACCTGCCTCAAAGCAGCTCTCTTTTTTTTCTTTAGCAAACATTGATGAAACGTTTGCTATGCATTTGAGCTCTGTGACCTTTCCTCATTCACTCCTCACTACAGCTTAAGAGGGAGCTGCTATGACTAACCATGTTTGCAAGGTGAGAAACTAAGCTCACACAAGCTTAAGACTTGTCCAGGGGGCTGGGCGTGGCGATTCACACCTCTAATCCCAGCACTTTGGGAGGCCCAGGCAGGAGAACAGCTTGAGCTCAGCAGTTCAAGACCAGTCTGGGAAACATAGTGAGACCCGGTCTCTACAAAACAAAAAATTAAAAATTAGCCAGGCCTAGTGGCACATGCCTGTGGTCTCAGCTCTACTCAGGAGGCTGAGGTGGAAGGATCGTTTAAGCCTGGGAGATTGAGGCTGCAGTGAGCTATTATTGCCTGGGAAACTGAGCAAGATCCTGTCTCAACAAAAAAGACAGAAAAGAAGCTTGTCCACGGTCACACAACTGGTGGTAATGGCAAAGCTGAGACTCAAGTCCAGGTCAGTCTGGATCCAGAACCAAGCCATGTCGTGGTGGGAATCAAATCGGAGAACAGGAGTGGAAACGCCTCTGGGTGGGGAGATTTAGTGCAAGCTCAGGAGCCATCACCAGGGCTGTCTTTATCGTGTTGCTTGCAAGGTTGTGGTTCAGATGCCATCACATGGACAACCTGAGAACCTATGCTGGGGAGGATATTGGGGGGATATCATATGAATATGGCTGGCTTCTCTCCCCCCCACCCCAAACTGAGCAGTCCAATCCAGTCCTGCGAGGTGTCCATTCTGTGCCAAAACCCTGAGGCTCTAGCCTTTGGCCCAGGTGACTTCCCATTTTCATGATGATCTCTGACAAACCTTCCCTGCCTTGCTTAGGGCTGTCACTGGCACTATTTTATGTAATCCTCACCTTGGTCCTGTAAAGGCACTTCTCTTTCTCTCCTCAAGCTGTAAACAAGGACACTGAGGTCTCAGGAGAGGGCAGAGTAGGAACCCACGCACAGCCAAGGCTCTCAGCCCCCAGCTATGCTACCGGGACCACCAGAAGAGTGAGATCGGGTCTCAGCCCTCTTCCAGCAGAGCCCAGAACAGTGTACACTGCTCCTTTTTCCCTCCATCTCCTGGGGAGGGAAAGGATATACTCAGTCTTCACGCCGTGCAGCAAAGACCTCAAATGCCAAGGAGAGGAAATGGCAGACAAGGGCAGATTAATGGAGTAGGTCAGCGGGGGAGGAACTGCACAGTGGGGTTAGGGCCAAGCAGGGAGGGAAGGATTCCCCAGCAGGTGAAGGAGTGAAGGCTGCTGGAGCTCCATCCAGTTGGGGAGGATGTGAGTGAGTCCTTGAGCAGAGATGACTTTGTGGTTCAGTGTCCCGTGAGCTTCGTGGCTTCTCCTCCCCTACCCAACCTGCTCCCACTGCCCAGAGAGGAGGTTTTTGATCTTCTGCTTACACAGTGAGTCAGAGGCAGCGTTTCCACTCACCCACCCCACCAACCCACCCCTCTCTCGGTGGCTCCATTGCCTCCCTAGAGGTTGAGGCCACCCCTAAGTTCCTCTTTGAGAGCCACAGCTGCATTCACGATGTTGCCTTGGCCCAAATTCAAT